CCCCCCCTTCTTAAACTTTAGAAATTTTAGTAGATATTGAGAGGGCAGTTTTTATTTTATTATAGTCTCTGGTGTGTATTGAAATTGTTAACTCCCGAGAGAAACCCATTTCCCTTCCATCTTTCCCTTGAGGTTGCCTCGTGTAGGAGTTGTTTGTTGTGTTTTCACTACGAATCCTGTGCCAAAACCTGAGGGAAACTACAATGCTTTCATTGAATGGATTTGACTTTCATTACCCATGTGGACACATGCCCCACACAATTGTGATGTAGCATTCGGTATTGAACGGAAATCTCGCAAAGCTATTATTTCATGAAGACCCCATTGGCAGACAAGTCATTAAACTTGAGTGCATTATTATTGTGTGAACTTTTAATCCAATAACAAATAGGTCAGCACACTGTCTATTTGCATTATCTTTCAAGAGACCGTCCCAAAACCTGTTTATCATGTGGCCCAAAAGTCTAAGCCTAACCGTTGCTACCTTCTATTTATTCCCAATACATGAGGGGCAACCCCCCACCCCACCCCTATTAGCACTTTGTTCCAACTTGCAGAAAACAAACATCAAGAACTGTGGATGTGTGAGGGTGCTGTGGACATTAGTCATTACACAATAAATACGAGGCTGCTGCAGCTGTACCTGTGTTGTTTACTCTAATTTCATATGCTCTATAACGTGGCAGTGTCAATTTCCCTCAGTCTCTGCAATGTTACCCTACTTTTGGGCTAGTTCCGTATTTTTGGATAACGTTAGTGATGCTCAGAGGGAGGGATATGGACAATCGTAGAGCATGTGATATAAAGGGTATTTGTTACTGAGAGTAACACTCCCACCAGATACAAAGTCCCAAAATCAGGGTATCGTGCTAACCCAAAATCCGGACATAACCTCTCCTACCTTATATTTATTCTCCAAACAGGCATAAGTTCCCCTGTACCCTTGCTTTATTAGTATTTTGCACCCATTAAAATAAGACCTTAAGAATTCTGGCTTTGTGAGTGTTGTGGACTTAGTCTGAGCAGTGGATATGAATGATAGATGGCTCCACATGTGCTCAGCCACCAAGGAGTCAAAAAGCTGAGCACATGTGGAGGGGTTAATTACCAGTACCAAATCAAATAAGGGAAAAGGTGTATGGAGGGAGTGCAGCACGTCAATAATAGTAATAATAATAATAATAATAATAGTAATACATGATATGGCATATTCTAACTCTGCCATTTCCTAGTGGAACCTCAGACCCTACCCTACCCATCTGTTAGGCCCTGGATCATTGTTAGTAAATCCAGATGTGATTCGTAGGCCTCTTGTTAAACACTTTTATCCACCACTGGTCTATGTACATTTGGTGCTTTGGCAAAGACCAGCAAAGCAGCAGCACATGTTTCTGGCAAGAAAGAGCTTGTGGAACATGCTGCCAATATATAAAAAAATTGATAAACCAGTTTGAGGTCCACCTTCCCTGGTTTTGCATGGTTATTTGCTATCCTTTGCTGGTATGCTGAAGTGTGAGGCCATAGCAATTGTTTGGTACTACCTCTGTTAGGTTGGGCTTTTTTCAAATGGGTTTAGGCGGAACACAAACATTGCCTGAGAATTCACATTACAAAGTTATAATGCTTTACACATAGGCTTACTCTCATCTTAGATATATTATGGGTTGGTAGAGACTATCCATAGTGTTAAAATGAGAAAATGAAGGGACTGTTTGGGGTAAATAAAGTCCTTTTCCTCATTTAATTACGTAGTGCTTGGGAAGGGGGTATTATACATCATTGTGAATGATTTGCCACTTTGTAAATGTTCAGAGAAAGACCTTGTGTAAAGTATGGAATCTTTTGTCTCGTACAGAATATTAGAGCTTTTGTTTGTGGCACTGCAGGTACTGTAGAGGTTTCATCCTTCAATCCTGAAGCAGAAAGGATGTTTGGTGCACAAAATAATCTGGCCTCTATCAACTCTCATTCAGTTCACTCTATTTTTGTCGTCTGCAAATTACATTGCTACAAACCTTGAAAACATTGTTTTTCAGCCCCCTTTTAGAGTAGTTGACCTTGCCCAAGTGGCAGTATATAGGATGCACATTCTGTTTGTGATTAAAAGATGGACTTGCTATGGAGAAATTAAAATCTTCCTAGGAATATTTTAAGCCCCCCTCCCTCTCCCCTATTTTGATCTGCTTATTAGTCCTTGTATGAGAATGCATTGTTGAAATTGCCTTGTCAAAAGGTAAATATTCCCTTTCACTAACCCGATACTGCCGGGTCATGCCTTGCGGCGTCATAGCAAACCACTGTCTGTGGAATACAGCTGTACGCTGCGGTGATGCACCAGTGTGCTTTGACTAGGACGTTCGGCTTGATGTAGTGAACTCCCACACTCAGTCAGTTCGTTGCCATTAATCTCCAGAGTGCAGAGTTTTTATTTATTTTCTTCACCTGGCAGTGTTGGGTTAATTCAAATTCAGGCATATTGGAAGCTGTGGCTTACCTATGGGTTACTGTCCTTTGAGAATTTATAGAATATTTTTTTCTTTAAAAAGTCTACTTTAACCAGTAGGTAAAGGAGAGAACAAAGAAACTACTGTATTTCAAACCTGTTTTCAACATGTCTTGTCCAATACTATCATTGCACATTTTTACCATGTGAACTTTTTGTACAAATGACTAAGCTCCATACTTGTTCTTCCAGCTCTACCGCTTCCTGGCGAGGCGCACCAACTCCAAGTTCAACAAAATTATCATGAAGAGATTGTTCATGCCCCGCGTACATAGGTCCCCCATTGCCCTGTCCAAGGTATCTGAGCTGGCCAGCAAGCCCACCCGCGCCGGCAAGATCATCACCGTTGTTGGCACCGTCACTGATGACAACAGATTCTATGATGTGCCCAAGATGACTGTAAGTGGACATTTCCTTCCAGTATTCTGCTTGCAGTATGACTTTTGTTTTTATTGAGCATGTATAATGGCTATGCACTTTTCTTTCCTGCAATTTTGAATCCTGTATATTCTTGTATTATATTCTTGTATTATATAAGGTGGTGTTACTGTAGTTTTAATAGAGCAGCCTCTATTAGTTCAATTTTTACCTTTTAGATTAGATCAGGTTCACGTTCATAGTAAACTAGTAATAGTGCATAGACATTCTGGAGGGTTCTGTCAAGGGCAAAGCCATACAAGAAACTTGCCAGCTAATATCCTCAATAATACATGCAACTGCCTTGTATACCTCTGGACAGAGGAAGTGTGTGTGTGTGTGTGTGTAATAGAGAATATGAATATTAATACTGTTAAATTTTTGGCAATTTTTTTTCTGTAGCACTCCTTGTTATACATTGTCTGTTTATTATACAGCCAGTAAGGAGAAAAAAAAAATCAGCTGCCCATAAAGTTAGCAGTGTGTAACAAAGTCTGGACTCTTGATCCCAAAATAAGATGAATCAGTAGGTTGCAGCCAGTAATTGTATGGTCAAAGGCCACATGATATTTTTAACCCTGTGTTTCAAAATGGCATACATGTCATGCTATACTGAGTGTGTTGCTAGACACACCTTTGTCATGCCATAGGTATCTCAATCCAGTAATAATTTATTGTCCATCTATCATGCAGACTGTACCATGGCAACTGGATGCTTTTGTGGAAATTTAGGCTAAAAAAATGTATATATAGAATTAAGGTATTGTAAAGTAAAGCAAAGCCACAAACCTGGATGCATATGGCAACAAAGCACTTGCTGTTTGTGCTGCCATGTGTGTATATCCCTAGAGTTCAGGCCTATTGATGATCCTCTTGTTAACCCTCAAGAACCATAAAGCCTCTAGCTTGTCTGTCTTTGCTACACAACAAAGCTGCTGTAGCTTTTTATATGGGCAACTGGAAATTCTTTACTAGCCAATGGAATATTCTTTAATAAATGCATTTACACAATTTAGAAATGGTCCAGTATCCCTGAATCATTCCAGTTTGACAGAGGCAATGCCCAGAGTGAGGTTCCCTATATTTAGAGAACAAATTTATGGTTTTTGACTCCATTATGTACCCACCTAGTGCAATTTATTTTAAGTAGAACATAAGAGCTCTACTGCATGTGTAGCTATAAACTTCACGTACACACAAGCAGATAGAGCATACATAAGACATTGGTCCATTTTTGTAGTTACCCAAACATTTATTCAAGGAACAGAGGATGTCCTAAGATGAAGACAAACTTCCTTGTAGATTCAAATGGAAGTGATATAATTCTATTAGTTGTATTGCATGTGGGATACAGAAACTTGTATAAATATATTTTTTCCTTAAGAACAAAATAGATTTTAGAGAAGTGACATGCTTCCAAAATCTTTATATTATAGAAATGGAAGTACATTGTGCTAATTAATTTATTATACATTTCACCTTCTTTCTAGTAAACCTTATAAATGAAATAATTAGGTGAGTAAAAATCTAAATAATTTGTGCTGTACTCCTCAGGTGTGTGCCCTCCGTGTGACTGCCCGTGCCCGCGCACGCATTGAGAAGGCTGGCGGAGAGGTCATCACCTTTGATGTTCTTGCTCGTCGTTCCCCCCTTGGAAAGAACACAGTCCTCATCCAGGGTGAGTTACCGATGACTTGTATAAAAAAAAAGTGTATATGGACATTCGTGAAATGGTTTTCTGTATTTAGATATTTAATTCCACACTGTAGCATACAGTAAGAGTTAAGTTGCATATTTGTTTGATTTGTGATTATTAGATTTTTCTTTACTTGTATTACTACTACTACTCCTACAAGAACTTTAAAGAATATATAAATACAATTTCTCCGATTTCCAGGTCGCCGCAAGGCACGTGAGGCATACAAGATGTTCGGCCGTGCTCCTGGTCTCCCTGGAAGCCACACCAAGCCACTGGTGCGCAGCAAGGGCCGCAAGTTCGAACGTGCCCGTGGAAGAAGGTCCAGCTGTGGTTACAAGAAGTAAACAGTTTATGGGTAGAAATAAAGAAAAAAAAGCAAAAGATGTTTTTCATTTTTCCCTCCAGATAGTGGTAGTGATACTGTCATTGGTATTCTTATTTTGGATTGCCACATAACTTCGAGCCCAGTTTCCTTATCTTTATATGCATTTTCAACCATTGCAACCAAACCTAGCTGCACTATCTCTGACTATAATAAAACCTTTGCCTATAGCAGGTAGGAGTATAATTGTATGTTAATGGGTTTTTATACTTTTTAACAATGTACATAATTTCTCTTGGGAACCCCCTAGTTCCAATTCCATTATTGCTGGGGGGGGGTAGGCGGGGGGCTTAGGAGACGGAGACTGGTACCCAATGCTGGGAATCACCTGCCTTGGGTCTCAACTAATTTTGCCATTCATTTCTTAACCCATTGCCAACTTGTTCTAAATCATCAGTGAGCCCAACCTCGTCCCACCCTCAATACTTGCATCGGAATTATATCCATCTCTCCGGCAAACTCCCCTGTCTACCACAAGGTTTAGTCAGATTGTGAAGACTTGCTTGCTTCATTGAATATTATGCAGTATCAGTACAATGCTACACCATTCCCTACAGAGGCCGTCAAAAGGTCCCCGCCAATAATGCCAAGATTACTTTTGGTAAACGTGACCTCTTTAATGCTTACATGGGTGGAGAATCCCTCCCTATCACCCCCCCCCCGGTCAATGTCTGAACACTGCCATTCCAAAGCCCAATACCCTTTGTGCCCAACCTGGTTATAATTGATCAAGCTGCTATGCGCGCACGTGTCAATTGTGGCGGTTCCCATAATGTATTGTATAGGGGCTGCCCTATCTACAAGTTTGAGTCTGAAGTGATTCAGACTTAGCTTTGCATTACGCGAGGCCAAGCAGGAAGCACGTCACTTGTTTTCTCTAAGCCAATAATCGCTCTACTCTTCCCCTTTCCTCCAAATATGTTTCTGCAGCTCTTGCGCATCCCACATCTATCCCCTCCCTCCCAGTCAAATTCTCTGACCATTGTAAATCCAGTCACCCCAGTCTCCTCCACTATTCCAGGCTCTCCAATCGCTACCCCAGCACCTACCCCCCCCAATCCCTTGCCCGTTGTTGTCGTGGGGGGGCTTAGGAGGCGGAGACTGGGACCCAATGATGGGAACTCCCCAACCTTGGGACTCAGCCCTCGACTCAACTAATTATGCATGGCCTTTTTCCCTTCCCACTTTTGTTTCTATCCCTTCACCAAACCCTTCTGCTATCCACCTCCTAAGGTGTGAGAGCCGTGCTGAAAGGATGAAAGGCTGACTTAGTGCCAGTCCTGAACGGCCTGAGGGAACCATGGGCACGGTATTCCCCTGATTTAGTTCTAGCCCTTACCCCTCAAGGGGACCCTGAGGGGTGGACTGTTTTTATCCCCAACATCATCCAGGCTTACCATGGCCAATAATGAAAATCTATCTCCACTATTAGGGGCAATGAGGCTTGCCCCTTTATCAAATAGCCCCAACGAAGAAAACCCACCCGATTCCCAGACCCCAGGCTCTCCTTTGACCACGGCTCCGAACACTGTAATAAATACCCCTTCATCAATGCCTAATAGTACAATAGCCAACAACCAACCCTCAAGGAACATTTCCACTCTCCCAACAAGCTCAACCCCCCCAATCCCTTGCCCGTTGTTGTCGTGGGGGGGCTTAGGAGGCGGAGACTGGGACCCAATGATGGGAACTCCCCAACCTTGGGACTCAGCCCTCGACTCAACTAATTATGCATGGCCTTTTTCCCTTCCCACTTTTGTTTCTGTCCCTTCACCAAACCCTTCTGCTATCCACCTCCTAAGGTGTGAGAGCCGTGCTGAAAGGATGAAAGGCTGACTTAGTGCCAGTCCTGAACGGCCTGAGGGAACCATGGGCACGGTATTCCCCTGATTTAGTTCTAGCCCTTACCCCTCAAGGGGACCCTGAGGGGTGGACTGTTTTTATCCCCAACATCATCCAGGCTTCCCATGGCCAATAATGAAAATCTATCTCCACTATTAGGGGCAATGAGGCTTGCCCCTTTATCAAATAGCCCCAACGAAGTAAACCCACCCGATTCCCAGACCCCAGGCTCTCCTTTGACCACGGCTCCGAACACTGTAATAAATACCCCTTCATCAATGCCTAATAGTACAATAGCCAACAACCAACCCTCAAGGAACATTTCTACTCTCCCAACAAGCTCAACTTCAACACCTCTACCCCCACAACCTCCAACATCAACCACTCCATCCTCCCTTATTACCTTACAGCCTTATTGCCCACCTCTCCGTAACACTACCTCCATCAACACTACTCCATCTTCGTCACGCCCCCGCCCCTCTACCACCCCTACAACAATCTTGAACACTCTCTTTAGTGCAGCCAAATGGGACCGATTTTTCGTGATCCCTCCCACAGCTCCCTACTCTGACAACACCCTTCTCTTCCAACAATGCCTCCAAAAACAAGTAGGTAAAGTCTCTTTCCGTAGCCGACCCGACCGCTCCCGTCTTGTAACAGTAACATCCGAAAACCAAGCCATTGCATTAACAAAACTAACTGACCTATACGGTAACCCCATCCTAGCAGAACCCCATCCAACCCTCAATACTTGCACCGGAACAGTCTCAATCTCACCAGCAAATTGCCCAATCTATGACAAAGATTGGTCAGATTGTGGAGAAGATCTACTTGCCTGTCTCACAGACTACGATGCAACATCAGTACAATGCTACTCCATCCCCCCCAGAGGTCATCGAAAGAAACCCACTAACATAGCCAAAATTACCTTCCGTAGACATGACCTTCCCTTTAATGTCTACATAGGAGGAGAATCCCTCCCTGTTCGTCCATACCAACCTCCACCACGTCAGTGCCAAAATTGTTGGCGTCTAGGACACCCAGCCAAACACTGCCGTTCCACAGCCAGATGCCCATTATGTGCCCAACCTGGCCATACCCGATCTAACTGCTCTGCACAATCACGCACATGTGCCAACTGTGGCGGCCCCCATAATGTATTTTATAGGGGCTGTCCCACCTACAAATTTGAATCTGAGGTAGCAACTCTCAGATTCAAACTCGGACTCACACTGCGTGAAGCCAGACAGGAAGCACGTCGACGTGGATTCTCTCTTACTCCTTACTCCAGTAATACTGCTCATTCTAACACTTCTCCTAAACCCACCCCTCCTACATCTAACCCCCCCACTAACCCCACCTACCTTCCCCAGTCAAACTCTTTTGCCATCCTAAATCCAGAAACTCCAATCTCTACTACAGATACCCCAATCACCACTACAACCCCAACACCTTCCCCTCTCCCTCCTCGCACTCCCCGTAACAGACAGAACAAACGTTCCACCCCCTCTTCCCCTACCACACAATCACCTCCATCATCCTTTGCCCCTACTCTTGAGACACCAGTCCTCTCTTCTCCCCCTCACAAGAAATCCTTTATCCCCCAAAACTCTCTTGAGACACCAGCATTCTCTTCCCCCCCTCACAAGAAATCCTTTATCCCACAAAACTCCCCAACCAACTCCATTGAAGAAACTCTTGAAAATATCCAAGACTTCTTAATGAAAACTGACCCCCATCAACCTTCAAATCCTACAATTCCTGCTTCCTCCGCACACCAAGTGACTGCCGATATCCATCCTCCTCCTAACGATATCCCCCCTACACCCTATCCTCCTACCCCCTCCCAACACAACCCATCCCCCCCAACTCCAACCCCACCCACATTAACCCTCCCACCATCCCCTCTATCCCTTCCACTCCCTCCTGGATACACACATGAATCCCTTATATCACAAGCATCCCTTTCCACACCCGTCTAACACACCCCTATCTGATGTCGCAATCCGATCCAACCCTATGCTCTTTATGTAATATTCCTCTTTCAGTCTCACACATTCTATTATCATGCACACGCTTTGAAGCAGCCTGTAGTTCTGCTTCCCCGCCCCCCACACCTATTCTCCCTTCGACAACCTGTTTTCCTCTCAAACACATAAATATCCCTCACTTAATCTAACCCCTTTACATTACCTCACCCGACCTTAACCCATTCACTCACCAATTCCTTTGCCCAGCTTTGTTAACTAATCACTAACTTAACCACCCTTTACTAACATTTACTATAGTGCTACATGACCTTAGATGTCTAGCACATTTATTTTTGCTTTTAACCATTAACCATTAACCAACAAGCTCAACTTCAACACCTCTACCCCCACAACCTCCAACATCAACCACTCCATCCTCCCTTATTACCTTACAGCCTTATTGCCCACCTCTCCGTAACACTACCTCCATCAACACTACTCCATCTTCGTCACGCCCCCGCCCCTCTACCACCCCTACAACAATCTTGAACACTCTCTTTAGTGCAGCCAAATGGGACCGATTTTTCGTGATCCCTCCCACAGCTCCCTACTCTGACAACACCCTTCTCTTCCAACAATGTCTACAAAAACAAGTAGGTAAAGTTTCTTTCCGTAGCCGACCCGACCGCTCCCGTCTTGTCACAGTAACATCAGAAAATCAAGCTATAGCATTAGCAAAACTAACTGATTTATATGGTAACCCTATCCTTGCAGAACCCCATCCAACTCTCAATACTTGCACTGGAACCGTATCTATCTCCCCAGAAAACTGCCCAATCTATGACAAAGATTGGTCAGATTGTGGAGAAGACTTACTCGCCTGTCTCACAGACTACGATGCGACATCAGTACAATGTTACTCCATCCCTCCCAGAGGTCATCGTAAGAAACCCACTAACATCGCCAAAATTACCTTCCGTAGACATGACCTTCCCTTTAACGTCTACATAGGAGGAGAATCCCTCCCTGTCCGCCCATACCAACCTCCCCCACGTCAGTGCCAAAATTGCTGGCGTCTAGGACACCCAGCCAAACATTGCCGTTCCACAGCCAGATGTCCACTATGTGCCCAAACTGGCCATATCCGATCTAACTGCCCTGCAAACTCACGCACATGTGCCAACTGT